CATGGGACCATGGTTGTGTACACAATTTGTCTTTGACTTTGATGGACACACCATTACACAGCACCTGATAGTAACTTCTCAGAGGGAAATTGAAGGTGGGGGTAGAAAAGGAGGGGCTTAGGGACAAAGTAGGGGGAGACTTGCAGAGAGAACAGAAACAGCAGCATGAGATGAACAGTATTTTAGAGGATGGTGAAGAAGGTGAAGGTGGAGGCCAGAGTTACTGGTGTTACACCAACAATGTCCTAGAGCCTGTTCAGACTAGCTCACAACTGCTGATTGTTTTTAGGAGTTTTGTGTCAAACCAGCCATTATTAAAATTTTAAAACTCACAGGAAAATAAATTTTTATAATAAAAATGCAACTCATCACTCCCCAGTGGTTTACCCCATTTTGCTGTCAGCGGTGCTCTGGGTGTCACATCTGTTTTGTGTGTGCAGTGGAGGTCATGTTGAGTGCTGTGTGGAAGCACATCTCTTCCCAACCCTGCCCTCGTAGAGTGTAGATGGCTCAGAATCAGTCACGAGAGGAGTATTTACACTAGCAGAATGGGCAGTCACCACAAGTAGGCTCCACTTTTTTTCTCCAGACAGACAGCTGTTAAATATTTACCTGCATCCAACTGCTCTAAAATGTATAAAAATGAAGAAATCACAAGTAGATTTCTATGCTCAATGACTTTCCTAAAGTAAACATATCTGTATGATCAGCACTCAGGTCAGATGATAGGTGATTACTAGCATCCCAGCAGCCCTCTCACACTTTCTTCAGCCACTGACCACCCTTCCAAGACTCATCACAATATTGACTTGCCAGTATGATTCTCTTACCTAAGGAAGGATTCTTCCAACCTCTCGTCTCCATGCCCCCTTTCACATTTTAGTGTCAATTTTCTAGGTATTCATTTTGTCATTATCTTGTTTTACATATTTTAAAATCAGGAATTATGACATTGCTGGAGACCTATAAGAAAATACATTATGAAAACTATCTCTTGAGATAGCCACCTGTTATTTTGATTTCCCAGGACAGGCAGAAAGGATATGAACATACCTGGTCTGATGCTAAGCCCCAAGTTTTAATCAGAAAGATGAGGGCAAAGCAAAGACTTTATGAGCTGTGAAAATTACTGAGGACCTAAAAGAGACTGGCCAGGGAGGAGTGCAGAGCACCGCCAACCTTGGCCTTTAGGAAACACATGCTCTGCAAGGGGAGGGAGTGGCTGGAGGCAGGGAGCCCTGTCTGGAGATGTTTTTTTAACTATCAGGAATAAAGTAGATGGAGATGATGGTGGTCTGGACTGAAGAGGCACCTTTCTGAAGGCCTCTTTTAGTAGCCCGACTAAAAGCATGGGTTCCAGAGCTAGGCATACTTATGGTTGAGGTTTCTCTCTGATACTTACTAGACCTTGGAACACTTAGTTAACTTCACTGAGAAATAGTTCACCTCCATAGCAAATAGAAATAATTGTAACTCTAGCCTCAGTGGTGGTTGGGGTTATTAACTAACCTATAAGAAGTGCTTAGTTCATGACAAACACTCAGAAGACATTAAATGTTACAGATGCAACATCTGCTTTACCTAAGGGAAAGGAAGAAACGTTCCCTAAACAACTGTACTACCTTCATGACGGAATCTGCAAAAGACCCTTTCTTCAAGGGGTTCTTTCGTGGCTTTTCTGAGGAGAGTCAGATCTCCAAGGAGTTCTTTGGGGATCTACAGAGAAATGGACACACACATTACAATATTTTTGGTTTTGGAAACTGAATGGAAGTGCTGAGCTGAGAAAGCCAGAGACAAAAGCCAATATCTCTGTATTTTCAGGACACCCTTCATGAGAAAATCAGGCACCTTAGTAGAGAGAGCAGCTTGGGCTCTCTTTTCCAAGGGTACACGGAGACAAGGGCCACAGAGTGTATAGCCATGTAGGGCAGACTGTGGAGACAAGCCTTCCATGCACACGAAGTTCAGGCCTCCAGTGATGTGCTGGCCAACTTGAGCCCTCCTGATTTGGGTGGAATATTCCCATATCATCTTTAGTGAGAAGATTCTTTATGGCTTCTTCAACATAGAGCCTCCCAGTTCCTGTTACCAGGGTATCAAGAGAGCTAGAGGTCTTCTAAATCATAAAGGCCCTGTCCAAAATCCTTATGGGTTTCCTATACTTGTGTACTGCAGTTTTTTTATAGGGAAAATAGACCAAATAGAAGCACCCACCATCCAGGGGTGTTGCAATTACATGAGACAACTGCACAATTTCACGTCCAGTTCCTAGTGAATGACTGACACTTCATAAAGACTGGCAGTTCTTCTGCAGATCCCTACCTCTTTGTCCTTAATCTCCTTCATTTCCAATCTGTTCTGGAATCACTCTATTGTAACCACTGGTAATGCTAAGACCAGCTACAACTATCCTAAAACTCTATCAGATTTCTTGCTGCTTGCCACTGGCTTTTCAGCAAATAGAGCATTTAGTCTTTTTGTTTTTTTCTCTTTGACTCGCATTTTTGATAAGCTTCTGGTCTTATATTGACTCTTTTTTATTTGAATGTGGCCTTGATGGTGGCCTCCAAAGGGCCAAGTCTGTGTGATGGGAGCCCATTCCTCCATTATTGTAGAAAGAGCTCAGCCTGGGCCAGATGTCATCCAGTACAGGACAAACAAGCCATGGCTAAAGCTGCGGTTGTGTACCAATATGGCGGGACTCTTGAGCCCCAGAAGTGAAGGAGATGGATTCTAGCAATTGTGGGTGGGGCTGATGATACCATCACTATACATAAAGACAATGACAATGACCCAAATAAAAAATGCCTCATTTTCCATCACCCACCAGAGAACAACTATTAATGCTGTAGTTTGTGTATACTATTTCTTGACTTTTCTCCGAGCAATTTTATCTGTTCAAATTGATAAACTCATTATAATAAAACTATATAATATAAAATGTATTCTGGCTTGAAGCATACCCCCTTAACCTGCATAAAACTCAGAAATCAAAATATTATAATGCAGGATTTGTGGGAGATTAGAGTGAAGCGGTGAACCACATAAACCAGTGGTTTGCAATGATTCATTTCTATCACTCTTCAGACCCAGGCTCACCTGTCACCCTCATGAAGCCTTCCCAGTCTTTCCAACCAACAAGTCCTCTTGTTAGAGTCTTTATTGATGTTGAGGATCGTGGCTTCATCACAGAGCCAAAGAGTAAGCGGCAAATAAATTCCAGTGCATCCATAACATTGCACACAGAATTAAAGGCTTGCTAGCAAACCAGTTCCATTCTCCTTCTCTTCCTCATCCCTCTATTTTTTTCCTTCTCTCTCCAGCTAGCAGCAGCACACAGAAACAGGGTCCTTCTTGACCTGCTTCCCATCTTCTGCTGTGCCCACCTGGGCATTTCCAGCCCTGCTCTACTCATGAGTTCCTGGCGCTGCTACCAGGAACTCCCTGAACGCACAGTTGCTGGCTAGAGCTGGCAGGGTCCTTGTGTTGTCAGAGCCCTGCGGGCTTCCCCTTTAATACTTGTGCCCATTAAATTCTGGGCCAAAAAGAATGGGGACGAGGTTGTGGAATGTGGTTCTAAATCACCAGCTCCCTTCCAGGCCGTTTGGGCTCCTTTGCACTCCTGTCCTTGCCCAGTCTGGGGTAGTGGCGTTGAAGGGCAGGAAGCAAGATTAGCAGTGGAGAGGGTGGGATTTCAGTGTCCATCTGCCAAAATTGGTGGTAGTGTGATCTAGTGTGACATAAATCCTGGTCTGGGCTTTAGGGATGTGCATTTTAGCTCTGCCTGTGACCTCACAGTCCTGTTTGTGGAGTTTATTTCCCTCTGAGCCCCAGAATTCCTCCCTGTACAGCCAGAGGTCAGCGTATTTTGACTTTCCCAAGGCTTTTCCTGGTCTAATACTGTCCTTTTCATGTTCTTCCCTCAGCTGTCACCACATCTGCCAGGAGAAATCTTGCTGTGAAAGGGGATTCCCTGGGAAAGCATTTGGTAATCTCTACTTTTTCATGGTTTTTGTGATTTTTACTTCTGTGTCAAGTCCTCGGTTCTCCTTTGCTAGGGGCTTTAAAGAGAGGTTTCAGCCATGGGATCTGTATGACTCTTAGCCTGTGATCTTGATCACTAGCTACAGAATCTCTCCAGGCCTCTGTGTTCTCACCTATGAAATGGCATTAAGGGCATAATTGCACTGGAGTATTTTGACAGTGAAATGCAATAAAGCAGGTTTAGTTCTAATACAATTTCCGGTACCTAGCAACCTCACGAAGGATGCTATTATTGTCATTATCATTCTTGTTCTTAGTTACAACCTCCTCTCTGACACTCTGAAGAAACTCCTCAGCTCCCTCTGCCTGGCATGAACCCTCTCTACACACAACCAAAGAGGAGGAGCTCCCAATGAGAAGCCCTCCAACCCTGACTCACATCCTTCAGCATTCATGGTGCTTGAGACCCCAGGGAGGCCCTAGTACACTCTGTGGCTACACAACCCTGGCTGTGTGTCTGCCCCAAGGGCTACTGCTACTAGCATTAGTCACATTTGGAGTGCAGGGGTCAGAGAGACTCGAGTGTGGTATGGATGAATACTTCAGGAAAGCCACTCAATCACTGAGAACCTCAGCTTTGTCATCTGTGTAGAAGACTGGCACTACCTCCTTTACAGTGCTGGGAAGGACTGAATGAATGGTCACAGTACAGTTATGAAGTTTGCAAGAACTGTAAAGATGGGATAGATCTGATCTATATGGAGTACTAGGAGTATTGAGTACGGAAGTTCCTTCCATATACCTACCTTGTTCCATATACCTATGTCTTTAGTTTGAAGGCCTTTGTCTGGTATCCCTGCCAGTGAAGAGGAGGGAAAAAGAGCCATGATACCCATGATTTCTCTGCCTCCCCTTCCAAATGCCTTTGGCCCAAGGCTATCCTTGACCCCATGTTAAATCAACCAGGCAGCCAGAGATAGGACAATTCATAAGAAAGGCCCATATACTTCTGCACAAAATGTTTTTTTAATTAAAAAGAAAATAAATCAAACAATGCTTTCTAAAATGTGCTATGATGAAACATCACAGGCATATAAAGTACCTACAAAAATGAGAAAGAGATTCCCAGGAGCTGCACTCACAGACCTCACAGACCCCAGAGGGAGACTGAGGATTTTCCCTTGAGGCTGTTACTTCTCAGACAAATACCCACCTCTCCAGAGCTATGGAGAAGGAAGTGCTCATTCCACCTTGTTTCTTTTGGAAGCCTCAGCCACTGCCAACTCACTGGTCCATGACACACACATACACACAGGAAGCCGGGCTTTATGAGATTTTGCAGAAAGGCAGCATGGGTGGGGCATTCCTCACTGACCCTGGATCTGTTCAAGCTCTGGGGGAGCTGGAAAAGAGACACACTGCATCGTATCTGCTGGCTACCCCACCCTGCAAGGCACTTGGGCTGTACTTTCTAAATTAAGTCTGCTGGTAAGTTACTCCCCTCCTTGAGTGGTAGCCAGATGCGTATCTGCAGGAAAGTTGGAGCAAACAGAACAAAGACAGACCAGAACAAGACAGGCCTGGCTGGTGTTGGATTTTGATGGACAACTAGAGGGCAGGGGAGAAATTTTGACATATCTGCTGGAATCGGCTTCTCTCCCTTACATTCTTTAGCTGCTCAGCCAATCCTCTGTGCCTGCTTCCTTTGGTTCAACCTTTGGAGTTGCCCATATTCAAATTTGACTTGTAGCTCTGCATTTGCTAGTTTGCAAAACCCTGGAAGTTATTTAGCTTCTTCAAGCTCTACTTCCCTTCTGTTAATGAGGTTGATGTGAATCTCACAGGGTAACTTTAAATAGTAAGTGTGACCATGCCTGCAAAGAGCCTACCACAGCACACAGCACAGAGTAAGTGCTCAAAAAATTGCCACCATTAAGACTGCCTATTCAGGCATCACTATTACTGCTGCAAAGCTGGTCAGTGTTTGTGTGCACTCAGGTGTCATGGACAGAAAGTTTGAACAAAGTTCTGGAAAGAGATGCATTCTGTTGAGTCTCCTGTGTTATGCATGGGCAGCTCTGAGGTCCTGGATCACGGGGTGGCATGGAGGCTGACTTGGGGGACTTGGCTATTTTTCTCTGGTCATGTCCGTGTAGCCCAGGAGCTGTTTGGGCCCTAGACCTCTGTGCCTTCCCTGGGGTAGAGGGCGCTGTTGGTGTTGATGCTGTTGTAGAAGTGAGGGCTGAGCTGGTTGAAGACGGAGCTTCCATAGCCAAACGCATTGGTGGGCATTGAGCTGGCCCATTCACTCCCACTCCCATGGCCTGTGAGGTTGGTGAGTGGGGTGTAGGAGTTGAAACTTAGGGTGCCCTGTCCCATCTTGTCAGAGGGCTCAGGGTTCAGTCCTGGTGTGCCCACAGGGCGCCCCACTGGACTCGGCCCATTCACATAGGCTGTCATGGTAGAGAGGAAGCTGTTGAGGCATGGGGTGCCTGAGGGGGGTGGGGAGGACCGCTTCTCTGGGGAGCTGGAGGTGCCTGGTGAGCCACTGTCCAGGATGTCTTGTGACTCTGTGCTCTTGGGGCTGCCTGCCAGGAGACTGCTATCAGTTTTCTCTGAGGCCAAAGAGCCTGTGCTGGAGGCAACATCTGATTTTCTCTTCCTCTTCCTGCGGAAATTTCCATTGTCAAACATCTTCTCACAGTTGGGATCCAGAGTCCAGTAATTCCCTTTGCCTGCAACAGAAGTGTGAGGAGGTAAGAAGACAGAGAGGTGGACAAAATGCCTCTCTTCTTCTCTTCCTTGTCATTGTCACAGGTTAAAAACAAAGTTGACAAATGTAGAGAGAAAAGAATAAAATCCTGAGAATGGAGGACTTCTACAAACCAACCACTTAACCAATTGCACCATATCTATCTCTGCTTAGGCATCGCCCAAGTGGTGGCAGTGGGGATGTCCACAAGGAAAGAGAGGTGCTGGCATTCTAGACATGCAGGGTAGGCCTTTTCAGAAGGCTGAAGTGGGGTGAGGCTGGGTGCTGGAGCGGGCTGAGAGGTGGGGGAATGCTTCCATTGCTGAGCTTAGAGAGAACCCAGGAAAAAAGGCAGGGCTGCCTGAGAGCAGTCCTGGGGTTGACTCTGAAGGTGGGATTGAGCCTCGCTCTGCTCCTGACTGCTAAAGGACTTTGAGTGACTTTCAGTTTCCTAGTCTGACAAATGAGCCCACTGGACCTGTCCATTCCTCCTCGGGGCCTCCATGGGGAAGGACAGATGCTAGAGGTGTAAGAGAGCTTTGCAACTATGAGGCACCATGGGAGGGAAGGCCAGCTTTTCCTGTTACCCTCTCTCAGCTGGAGGGCAAGGGCAGTTCTTGAACAGATGCTTTCTTCCGGGAGACAGACAGACATGGATACTGCTAGCATCAAATGGGGCAAAAGTGGGGTTTCTTTTGGCCATATTCTGGTATAGCAAAACAACAATGGACTTTAATTCTAGGAAAATGTTTCATGAATATTTTTACTACATTGCTCTCTGCAGCTCTCCTTACTTTAGACATTTGTCATTGCAAAGGAGAAGGTCACATTCTCTGGGTTGGACCTGCTTTCAGAGTCAAGTACTATCACTAGCACTTCACTGCATCACCTAAGAGAGGTAGGCTGTTCCACCTCTCTGAACTATTTTCCTTACTTGTGAAATGGGTTCATAAAGGTACTCATGTTGTGGAGATTTAAAAGAGGTTGTGAAGGTGGGATGGGTGTCCATCGAAGTTCAGAACTTCTCCCCTGTGGGCATGCACTTGGGCTTGGTTTGGACCATTCTTACCACCTGAAGTTTTCCAATGCACTAGGTCCTGGGAATGTACATGATTCATAATATTGACCATAGCCCATTAAATCTTTGTTAGTAGTAGAGACTTCACATATAGTATCTCACCTCTACAGCCATGAACCTGCACGGATATAGTATCCCTATTTGTCAGATTAAGAAGCTGAGGCTCAGAGATCTAGCCTGACCAAGGTCCTGACTGAAACCTGTTAAAACTCAAATCTGCTCCAGGCCTGTGTCCTCCTCCACCTCCCTTCAGCTCTGTCTCCAGGCAGCCTCAGTCTGGGGGTGCTGGGGACGGAACAACCAGAATCAAAGCTTCCTGTTTGGGACAGGAATGAAAGAAGCCTTACCTGGGAACTCAGAAACTTGCTGCAGGATGCCTCTCCCTGCCCTGGTGGCCCCCTTACCTGGGTCATCCTCATCTCGGGGCACCTTCTTGAAGCAGTCGTTGAGGGACAGATTGTGGCGGATGGAGTTCTGCCAGCCGGCCTTGCTCTTGTTGTAGAAGGGGAAGTTGTCAGCCACGTACTGGTAGATCTGGCTGAGGGTGAGGCGCTTGTCAGGTGCCCCGTGGATGGCCATGGCAATAAGAGCCGAGTAAGAATAGGGTGGACGCACCAGCTTCATCAGCTCCTCCTGCGAGGGGATGGGCAGCCAACCCAGGTCACTGCCCCCCAGCCCGGACATGCTGGGAAGCAGCTGCCTCTGCATGCCATAGGCCTGGGGCAGGAAGGGGCTGCTGTTGGTGCCCGGCAGGTAAGGTGGAGGGGTCATGGCTGGTCCATTGAGCCAGAGGTAGGGGTTAGGGGTGGCCCCATACTCGCCACCTCCCTCAAAGGAGGGGGGCCGCTGAGGGCTGGGCCCACCCTGGGGGTGGAAGAAGTTCTCATAGTAAAGGTTCATCTCGGGGGGCTCCTGGCCGATGCTGGGGAACTGGGGGCTGCAGCGAGGCGGGGAGGCTGCTGGGAGGTCGTAGGAGCTCATGCTGGGGCCGGGTGAAGCAGCACCACCAGCCTGGCACCTGAGCTCTGGAGCTGCCCCTGACAGGTGCTTGGCAGGCCCCAGCCTCCAACTTATACCCTGAGGCTCTGCTGGGCAGCCCCACCCAGGGGAGGCCACCTGCCTTCCGGTCCTCCCTCCTTTCTCCACCCTCCCGCCTCAGGTCCCCGCTAATGACATGCTCAGACAGCCTATTAGTGCTGATAGCCTATATGGCACGGGCTCCTCATTCCTTCTCTCCTGGGTTTCTTTACCTCAAAATCTTCACAGGTGCTTTGCTTTATTCTTTTATTTTGCCTTATTTTTCTTACCCTTGTCATGCTTTTCTTCCCTTCCTATTTTTCTCTCCCCTTATCCTTTCTGCATTTGATTCTTTCCTTCTTTCTTCACGGTTCATTTTCTTCTCTCTGCCTGTGTTCCTTCTCCTCCCTCTGATCTTCCTGACACTAGTTCTTTTCTGTGCACTAATCTGACCACTAGGCACCCCTTAGACTGGCTCTGCCGCACTCTCTCTCTCTCTTTCCCCTCCTTCTCTTCCAGTGTCTCTGTGTGTCTCTTTCTCTGTGTATCCTTCTCTCATTTGCTGATTTCTCCTCTTCTCCTCTCAGTTTCCTCCTCCTTTTTAGCCCAGCCCCTCATTCTCTGGTTAACAGCCCTAGTCCTCCACTGGATCAAACACTGGATCAGAAGAAGCCTCATGGATTGGTCTTTGAAAGCAGAGACACATTTTCTGATGTTGCCAGAACAGAAAGTCACAGAGGAGAGGAGACTGGCTTTTCCTGAGGTCTCAACTCTAACCACACAGAGAGACAGACAAACAGACAGACATTCTCTCTGTCGCTCCGCAGGTGGGAAGACAAGAAGCTGCATCGATCTGGCCTGGAGATTTGCCCAAAGGAACTATAGGGCTCTTAAAAATAACATCAAAAGAGGGAGGCTGGGGATCAAACTTCAGGGAGAAAGGAGAGAGAATTTCGTAATTCAAGTTTCTTTCTGGCTGCAGGGCAAGCAGCCTCCCCAGCTCCTAAACAGACTGAAAATCCTTTCAAGTTGCCTCCACAAGACCCCTGGCATGGAAGGAGCGGGGCTGGGGTGAGGGGAGAGACCAGACTCACCAGACATCCCTCTTCCCTCTAGCTCAGCCTCTGGCACCAAGAGCTTCGACCCTGGCCAGCTCCCCATGCTACTCCCAGGGCCAGTTCCTCTCCTTTCAAGGCTCCCTTCTACAGTCATGCTTGGAAGGGGCTGGTGTCAGCAGCCCTCCACCCCTAGCAGGCCCCCAACTTGAGGAGTGGGTGCTGGTCTCCCTTTTCAGCGGATAGGCAGCGCTTCCCTGGCTAGGTTCTCCTAACTCCTGACATTTCTCTGTGACCCAGCAGACTGGAGGAGAGCAGGCGCTGGCCTCCCTGGTCCCACCCCTCCTGCTTTCCTGCCTGCACTTCCGGCTCCCCAGCCAACTTCCTCCCACTTCCTCGGACTCCATACTCCCTGAGGCTGAAGATCAGGGTGCTGTGCAGAACGCAGAGCGGGTGCTTCCCAAGGAATTCTCCACTCTGCTCTCCACATGGTGTCAGGACCAAGTGAGAGGGCCACTGAGCGTGCCTGGGGATGCTGCAGGTAACGGGCGGTCAGGGGTTTTCCCAGACCCCGAGGAACCACTATCTCACCATAACAGTAAAAGAGGGGCCCCTTCCCCACAGTGTGTATCTGCTTAGTAGGTGTTTAGAGTAAGCGCAGGGCGGGTTTTAGTTTAGTGTGTCTTTATCAGGACACATGATTTGCTGAGGGTGGGTCCCTAAATTTTCAAAGAACACTCCCTTGCCACTCACTGATCCAGGCCCAAGCTGTCTATCAAACTGAGCAGTTCCTCATTTGAGAGAATTCAGCGGCGCACAGAATTAGCTGTGTGGCAGCCAACCACAGCATTGTTTATAACTATGTCAAACTGCAGGTAACCTAAATTTCCAACAATAGGGGATTGATTAAGTTGTGTATCATCCAAATGATATAATATGGTATAGCTATGAAAGTCAGATTTTAGAATAATAATTAGTGGTAGGGAGAGATATTTGTGTTCTAATAATATTCAAAGAGACGGGCTGCAAAGCATCATTTTCAGGTAAAAGTATGCTACAGTCACTGCATAGAAATCTAGAAATATAAATACAAACTCAATTATTGCTTTCCAATGAAGAACTAGACAGGACTTTGTTATTGCAGTTTTTTATTTAAATAATTAGAGAAAAGAAAGGCAAGAGGTAATCACAGGAGAGCTGGGGCAGACATGGGCTCTCCGAGGAGGGAGCACCCAGCTGCAAACCCTTAGCCTGGGACTGCATAGCTATGTGAGCACAGAGGAGAGGTTCAGCTTCGTTCAGCCTCATTTTTCTCAAGTGAAAATGGGAATGAGGGCAGGGTCTAGCTCCCAGAGCTCCCAGTGAGAGCTCAGCAGGCAATGGAAGGAAATCATTTCACCTGGTGCAGACAGGCACACAACAAACACTAATTATATACCGCAGCCAGTATGGATTTGTACAATTGAGCATACCTGAGTTTGCTGCCTTGGGAATTATTAAATTGATCAGTTTCAACAACCAGTGGCTAAAGGGTCACAGTAAAAGGAGGAAGATTATTTAGCATGGATGCCAATGGGGTGGCCAGGCTCTTCCACTGGCAGGCCATAGTCAGAGAGGGTTCAGAGTCCCCAAGTTCATGGCTGAAAGGGGTTGTGAGACCCAGTTTCCAGGCTTCACCATAGTCAACTTCTGGTATTGCTGAGGTCTTTTTCCTTAGAGATGTTTTTGGAGAAACCTTACCTGAGTCTCCCTAGTTGTATGCAGCCCTGGTTTCTTCTGTCCTAGAGATCAGATAAAGCTTATCTTTAAACCAGGAAGCCTCATCCATGTTGACTCTCAGTTCCCAGAGTCCAGTAAGTGGGATCAGAGCACTTTGTGCCCTCTGTCCTTCATCACAAGGTGAGCCCTTTAGGCCAGGGCATCCAAACAGCCCCAAGGGGCTCCTCATTCCAGACTTTGCTGAGCACTGGCTGAAGTTCTTGCAAGGAACACAGGTGCTGCCTACTTTCATTGACCAGATCAGGCTTGAGAGTCATCCCTAAGGGCCTCTAGTTCCAGGGTGTCTGGGAAAACAAGTGTCTCATTTTGTAAGCACTGAATGTATTTTAGAGGGTTTAAAATTTCCCTGGAATGAGAATTCTACCCTGAGAAGATGCATCTCTAATGTCAGAGAAATAAAACTATAAACATGATTTTTAAAAGAAGTAGAAAAGTCAGGTAGGACCTGAGCCAACAAGGGAATGCTCAGGATACAGTTTACCTGCCCAAGTCCAGATTGAGAGGCCTTCTTGAATGGGAAAGGCCATGTGTTTTGAACCTCACATTGGGATATCTGAGACAAGGTAACAGAACATAAAAAGCATGGGCTCTGGGACTGGGCAGAGCTAGGTTCAAATCTCTGCTTTGCTACTTGGTAGCTGTATGGTCTTAGCCAAATTTCTTAATTTTACAAGGCTTTTGTTTATAAGATGCAGGCAAAATACCATCTGTCTTGAAGCACTGGAAGGGAAGAGTGATGCATTGCGTATAAAATTTATAGCCTAGGATCTGGGAAAGCACATATGAGGATGGTTAAGGCTTGGGCACCAGAAGCCAGGGATTGACGAGAGAGGCCAAATCACTGTGGCTGAGGACAGATCCACTGTGGCTGCTACTGGATCACGGAGCAGAGAGCAAAGAGCTCAGAACTTGGCACCAAACTTTCTGTTAGTCAAACCTACTTCTACTCCATAGGGTCTCTGATACCTTAGATTGCAATAAACTAGCTTGGGGCCTCAGTTTATTCATCTGTGTGAGAAAATCCAACTTCTGAGTGTAGCTTTGAGGACCTAATGCCAGGGTTATAGCCCATGCTCAGGAAATGCCAGGTCTTATTAGGGACATAGGAGCTATAGGATGGGAGATGACACTGATGGTTCAGCAGCGGGGGCTGCAGCAGTTCTGAGCTCACGGAGATCACCTGCTCTTATAACATCACCTATGTAGGGGCTGGCTTTCATGTTCTTTCACTTTACACAGAAAACACACGTAGCTTCTGTGTTCCTAGGAGAAGTAGCCTGGGATGGAGGATGAGGGACTAGTTTGAACTCTGCGCTACAATTTCCTTAATTATTTAATAGGGGCGAGAAATGGGCATTTCTATCCACTACCCACAGTTTGCAGTGCCCGGTCATTGGCTTTTATCTGGGCTTCCTGTCCAGCTCAGACAGCACCATTTGTACGGATTGTGTCTCTGGTGTACTTTGGGGCTTGACCTCGGGATGGCGTCTTTGTCCCAAGGGCAGGCTCTGTGGAAGTCAGGCTGAGGCATTCATTAGTGGACTAATCTTTCCCCCAAAGACACTGCGGGGTCTACTGAGCAAGCACCTAAAGAAAAACAGGTCAATGTCGCCCTCTGGCGGTCATCTCTTTAAAAACGGAAAGTAGCCAGCTTGGGGAAAGATTCAGGGCGGACCCAGGGCTTGAGGGGGAGAACAGAATGAGAGATCCAAGAGTGACATTCCCGGGACGAAGAATACTCCAAGGAGGAAACAGGTTCTTAGAGATAAAGACCTCACCTTTGCTGCGGTGGGAATGTGAGAACTGGCTTGGCAGTGGGGGAGTGTCTTAGAAGGCAGCCAAGCCATGTTGGACAGGAAGGCTGTGAACCTCACTCTTGCAGCTACTTTTTCTGAGCACCTTGACATTGTTTAACCTGAGTCTTCGCGCATCAGCTAAGTGGCTGCTGCAAGGAATGAACGAGGAAGCGCCTCTCAGCCAATGCGTGGCTGTCGCTCATCTCTTCAACAAATGCTGATAGTTTTCATGTTCCATTTCTGGATGGATGGTGAGGACAATGTCACAAGTCACACAGCTCTGAAGTTCATATACTTGGTGGGTTTTGCCATGTCCGGGTAGCTCCTGGGATTTGATTTGTTTATAATTTTTAATTGATTTTCCATTTTTTAACATTGTAGTGAACTTTAAAGACAAAGTCCCTATAACTTCTAAAAATGGATCATGAGTAGCCAAGATCATCCCTTGCCATAAATTAAACAAAAATAATTAACATTTATTTAGCCCTCACTATGCTGACTGCAGCCTGAACTCACCTAATTTTGCAAGCAGTCAGAATTGGACAAGCAACTGCTTTGAAGATAACGATTCACAATATATTCTCCATTGTTAGTGTCCTATTTGTTTTGAAATTCTGTGTCATTTTGCAAAATTTTTTCATTTGAAAAATAGAGAAAAA